CATGACAGGACACACACTGACAAAAACATAATCAAGAAAACGACGAAACAAACAGCCAGACGAAGATAAAAAAGGAGAAAAAACAAACAATAGTGATTGGACAGAAAACATAACAAAACTTGCCACCAGGTCAGACAAAGCACGTCCTGAAAAGTACTTAGATCTAATCAGGACATCGACAAAATAAACAAGCAGAAGAAGATATTAGTTTGTTTAGTACAGGGTTTTACGGCGCTCGCAACTGCATAAGGTCATATGAGCGCGCGAAACACAATTCAGCTTTGTTCACAACAGTTTACTGTACGGCTGGCTCCGGTCAGTAGTTAGATTTTAAAATGTTAAAATGTAAAAAAAACAAAAAAAAAACAGTGTAAATATATGTATATTTTCGATCTAAAACAATTTTCCTAGATAACGCTGACAAAAACATAATCCAACAAACCACGAAACAAAAAACCCAGAAGAATATGAAAAAAAAATCGGTGACTCTCTTGGCCTAGAAGTTAAGGTATTTGCCTCTCATTAAATAGGTCCCGAGTTCGAATCGGGAAAGCGACGGAAAATTTTCTTCTAAAAATATTGTCTCCTTTCACCTCTTTTCCTTCTCTCTAACAATGTTCTGTTGTCTGCTTTTTCTGCCCCCACCCCCTCACCTCTTTTGCCCCCTCCTCTGGGCTCCTGACTCTTTCTGCAGCCTTTCTACTGCTACTCCTTGGCTCCTCCTTATTGCTGTCTTTCTGCCACACCCCTGATCTTTTGGTAGGTAAGATCTACACTTAGCCTTCTCGGGCAAGGGCGAAAAATCTCTGAGGTCCCGTGTGCAACTTGCACACGTTAAAGATCCATTGGTTGTCCAAAATCGATAAGAGTAGGCTTCAGCCGCCACCCATGAGAAATTCAAAATTTCCTATCAACTGAAAATGTTTAATGTGTCCCGCGCGCTCATATGACCTTATGCAGTTGCAAACACAGTAAAACACAGACTAAAATTTAAAAAAAAAAGAAAAAAAAGATAAATAAATAAATAAATGACAATGACAACCCCCCCCCCCAAAAAAATAACCCAACAAGAACAAAACAAAACAGTTATACACAAACAGCCAGCATGAGCAGACATTGGCCTTTACAGAAACATAAAATATAATATTATACTGCTACACGTATTTGATATTATCTAAATGTTTACTTTTTAGATTTACAATTTTATCATGAATTTTAAAAATTTTAAAATACAAATAAAAAACAATAGTGATTAGACAGAAAACAAAACGAAACAAAACAGAACCTACCCCCAGATCTGACAGGGCACGTGCTGAGAAAAACATAGATCTAATTAAGAAAACGACGAAACAAACGAACAGACCAAGATAAATAAAAAAACCCCCAAAAAACAAAAGTGATTGGACAGAAAACAAAACAAAACAAATCGTGCCCCCAGGTCTGACAGGGACGAGGTGAAGGTCGTCCTGTCGTCTGCCCTCAAGATGCTCAACACTTGGAAGAGCGCCTACTTCGAGGTGCGCGCCAAAATCGAGGCTTCCGGTCGAGACGCACGCTGG